GTGGGTTTCCATGTTTTCAGCAGACTAAAAATTTTGCGTAGTTTCCCAGTTCCCAATCTAAATTGAAGGCAGTTCACAAAATATGAAAGTATTTTACTTTGCATATCCTCCTTAGTCATTTAAAATAAGCCTGATTTTAAAAACACTCAACGATTATATTCAAATTTGGCTAGGTTCCCCTCCTGAATGAGGACATCAGTTCTCCAAATACTGATTGCACAATCAAAACTGTTTAAGAAATTCTCGTGGCTGTGAATACAAAAATGATAACTAATAAGTAAGAAAAATCCAAAGGGCAGGAAAAAAAATGTCATTACTGATAGCAGCCGGAGACTGACGGGAGGGAACAAGTTTCAAGATGGAGCTCAAAGAAAAAATAAATTTAGGACCCTGAAATCAGTTCAAAAATAACATGTCTGCTAGTAATAGAGACATGCGCGAAGAAGAAAAATGAGGCAGAGTAGAGTGATAGGGAATTTAGGAAGTAGAATGGGGAAGCTGCTATTAGCTTGGAATGAATCTTTGTAGCCCCAGAAATGCATAGGTATTGGAGAGATGCCTTATCCACTTTTTTGAAAAGCACTGTTACAAGTGCTTCTTACTGTTACAAGGGCCCCTGGGAAGCTCGTTCAGTTAAGCAACAGACTCTTCATTTCAGCTCAGGTCATGATCTCACAGTTCGCGAGCTCTGAGCTTGAGCCCCTCACAGCGTTCTTTGCACCCTCTGCTCCTCCCTGCCCCTCCCCTGCTCAGGCTCACAGGCTCTTTCAGAATAAATAAATAAACTTCAAAAAAAAGTATCCTTTTGTGCATTCAGGGTCATGCAGCTCAAGTTCCATAAGCTACCCGAATCCCCGCCCCCAAGGGGCCCTCGCTTTGTTCCAATGTGGCTCCCACCCTGGGGTGCTCATCCCTCCGAGGTGGACCCATGTCTTCCAGAGCCCAGACTTCCTGCAGGCATGGGGACCCAGAAAATATCTATGAAAAGACTGAGCCCTGCTACTCAAGATCATTTCCTTGGGGCTGAGCAAAGAGTTGTCCTGTGTGCCTTCATTTTTCAAGACGAAGAAGGCCGGCTGATGGAGCGCAATGCTGGGAAGCCCGGAAAGAGATGAGTAGCCTCGCAGAGCCCCAGAACTCCCCCACCCCCACCCGGGAGAACCCTGTAGAAGTATTCCCCTGCAGGCCCCTGCCCGGTGACCACGGTGGTCAAGTCCTCGGCTTTTGATGACACCAGGGCACAGGGGGTACTAGGTCTCAGGGAAATAGCTGACCCGCCCACCCCTCTGACTCAGTCAACAGTTCCTGGGCCACTCATACCTGAGTGGGCTCACGGAGGCCAGACTGCGTGGACGCTGCCTGTCTTCAAACCTTGGCTCCTGCTACACGCTTTCCGGCTGTGTCGCTTTGGGCAAGTCGCTTCCCCATTCTGTGCATCAGTGTCCCCACATAAAACAGGGCCTGACATACTGGTGATATTGAGTTTTTGTGAGGATTAAAAAGAAGTTAATGTAGGTAAAGCATCTTATACCTTGATGGGCCAACCCAGCGCTGCGGATGCACACATCACAGAAGCTCAATGCTTATCAGGAATTAGCGGTCCGCCCACCCTTATCGGACACTCCGATCATTACGATGACGATTTGATAATGATAACAAGGGGGACTGTTCTACCTACAGAAAACTCTCGGGAGGGAGGGTGGGGGTCTGGTTTTGGCACTCTGTAATCAAACACATCACTATTTCTACAGTAAAACATACCAACGCTTGTACTACGTGGGATACGTAAAGACTATATATAAATAGTCTCCCCTCAGTTCAGGTCAGGATTTACTACCCAGCTTTTCACCTGAAATTCTCTGGGTTTTCAGAGCTTTCAGAAGAGACGGTGGACCTAATATATTAAGCAAGGGCTGAAGCCCATGGAAGTTTTCTCTTCCTTTCTAACTTCCGGACATGGTTAATGACCAAATAGTCAAAAACCACTTAGGAGTTGAAAATAGGAAGCCCTTCAGGCATGGAAAATCCATGACTGTATAATTAATCTATGCCAAATATTATCTAACTCCCCCCCCCCCCCCCCCCAATATAGCACATCATCAGAGGCTTGGTCATTTCCACACACAGCAGGTCTTAAAGGAATTTTTCACTGTGGGATGAAATACTTAGGTTTGGCCACTATTCCCAGGGTACAGCCTTCTTTTCCCACAGGAAACAGACAAGCTATCGAAGGGCAAATAACAGACTTGAAAGCATGGGCCTTAAAAGAATACAGTGTTCTCCGTAGTCCGCCCAGAGGAGATGAACAAATCTTACGCCAGAGCGGTTAAAGGATCCTGCCACCAAAGGAATGTTTCTCCACGTTGCATTTTCGGGAACGATCTGCAGCTCTTGAAGAGCTAGCTGGGCGGTAACTGGTTCAAGATGTTCTCACTGCTGGTCAGCACTGGAGAAGGGATTTGCACAAACCTATGGGAGCCGACCCCTTCCCGCCTCTTTATTACCCCCATATGTTGGCATTTCTCTTCCCCAACTTTTCGGATCCCTTTCCATTGATTTTAGACTGAGGTATTGCTCTGCTCGAAACCTGTGTTTACCGCTCCCGTGGCGAATCCAGACACAAAGGCGAGTCAGGAAGACATGAAATGCACGGAGATACTTCTGTTGCTTCATGGTTTTTTCCCCCTTCTCATTATCCTCCTACTCAATGAGACTGTGGTGGGAGGTCTGAATGACATTTCCAAACCGAGAACTTAAAGCTACATTTCAACACCCAACCCCTCAGTTGTCATAGGAACAATACTAGGCAGTTTATCTGGTTTCTAACAAACAGCCACTTGTCTCGCTGAGAAATTAAAGCTCCCCCCCAATCAAATATAGACACACACCCCATACACCCAACCTCGAAAAAATGCCATGGGACAAGCCTGAAGACTACACCAAAAACTTAAGAAACAAGCCCAAAGGGAACACATTCATATCCCTGAATATGCAGATACCGAATGCTATTTGTGAGAAATAATTTTGAGGTCTGCCACCTGACCTGCGTCCCTTCGGTCTGTCGTCTTAGATGCACATCGATCTCTTTTCAGAGCATACAAAAATCTTAGTGCTCTCCATAACTCCAGCAGAGAACTCAAGGCAATGTGAATGGCATTTATCCCACACGTGTTTCTAAAAATTAAGAAGTTGATAACAAGGGGGCAAAGAGAATTCAAAACGTGAAGAGCTAAAGGAATTCTTCTGGAACATACTTTCTGGCATTTACTGTTTCAACCCACTCCTATTATATTTTTGTCATTCAAAACAATGGCTTCTACGAGAAGGAGTAACACCTCAAAATTAGAGGCTTTTTTTCTCATTAAGCGAGGCACTGGCCAGATTATTAAATCATCGTGTTTCACTGAGATATTTACATGAAATACAGAGGTCAAGGTAACTGCGAATCACTGAACACAAGCGAACAATTGGCTGGAAGTTACCTGTAAATATCTCAAAGCTATACATTCAGGGGCTTCAGGGAAACAAGGGGCGTTTTCCTCATCCTCAGCCACACCTTCTTTAATTAAAGTCAAATAACCTGTAACAGTCCCAGCTTGGAGCACCAATCTGGTTTGCTAGAAGGGCTGCCCTTAATGGCCATGTTCACCTTGCTTTTTATTTCTTTCTTTGAAAATAAATCCTGATACAAGAGTTTGGAGAACCCTTAGCCTGAGCAAAACTGGCCTTAAAAGTTCTCAAAGCGTGTAAGAAAACAAAAAACAAAAAACAGATCCCACTAGATTCATCTCCCTCCCCTCCAACTTCAGAGAGGCTGGAGAAAACTGCAGTAACGGAATGGGAAGCAAAAGTCAGACATGCAGATTCGACTTTTCAGTGTGGCTTAAGGTACTTAAAAAAGAAATCAACAACATTATAGCCTAGAGAACCCCAACTTAACCACTCTGTCAATAACAGCTTTCACTATATATAGTCACATTCATAAAGGAACATCACCAAAACTACCTATATAATTTTGGCAGTTAAATAACATTTTCCCCCGTCTGATTCTATAAGTAGACATCACATGATTGCTTCTATTGACCAATAAGAAACTGGTAAATCCGGTAGCCACCACCATTCTAATCATATTTTCTTATTCTATTCCACTTTTCCAGCACAATCATTCTTCAAAAGCCGAATCAAGAAATCAGACACTATAAAATGCCTGATACAAAACTGTGTGTCTAGTTTACAAGTAAGAACCTGTTGTGTATAATACAGGTATGCAAAGCTTTATTGTATTTTTCTGAAAATCTTAAACACAGGGGCAGCTCAGAATTCAGATCACAAAACTGAATTCGCTTCAGAGAAAGACAGACAGACACATGCGTGCCAGGAAGAAGTGCTAGCCGCAATATCTCCCAACATGATGGGCCGTACAGACATACCCACCCTTTGATTACTAACTGTGATCAAACAGAACAATCCTAAAACTTAGGACACAAAAGTACAAACATCGATTGCCAGCTTAATCGGCTCCTCGCAATCGGTAGGAAAGGTTTCCAATGCATTACTTCAACTTTCATTTTGTAGATTTCTAACACTTGCCATCCTTGAGTAGAGGGAGAGGTAAGACGGCAAGATTTCCACTTGGGATTACACATACTAGTCCGACTAAATGGACATAGATACCCACGGACCATCAGAGCCCCAACTCTACCGAATGACCCATTTTATTTGTTCCTCCCCACTAAAAAGAAAAAGGGAGAGGGAGAAGCCAACTGGTTATAGCCCGTGTGTTTGTCTAAACTGGTAAAGCCCAGCTCGTCATCTCTGTTAATAACCTGGCTTCTTCTCAGACTTTATGGTATATTCTTCGGCTGCTTCTTTCGAGAATCCCTGCCTCTGTTTACGTGTTCTCTGGTTCAACACAGTTGTTAGGGGTCTGTGAACAATTTTACAATTCCCCGCATACGCCATATGAGATCTATTAGGGAGCGATGCCACTTTTCACTTACCAATTCTGGATGAAGCAGTTATTTCCTGGTGACAGAATGCTGCTGCTTCCGTTCACTAAAACTCCCTCTTCACAGCTTGATAAATCTGATTATAAAATGTCTTTGTTCCAGATCACCCGAGGCGCCTTTCCTGCGTAAGTTTTCTAAAGAGTTAACTGCATTTCATTCCTGTTACAAAACGAATAAGAACAAGGGGGGCGGGGGGGGGGGGGGAGTTCAGTTCACACAAGTTCCTGGCAAAAAAAAAATTTTTTTAGCTGCATTTTTCTGAGTTTAATCAGTAAGCGATATTAAAGTGACAGTTACCAGTTTGGGGAGCCAGAGCTCGATCAAGTCAGCCACCGCCAGTGTTCGGTGTCTTCCGCTGATGTGCGGACCCCAAGGAAGAAGTCACTCGGTCATCTATCATATGCAGCTGAATCACTGGCCACCCGCCACCCCTCCCTCCGCCGACACACACACACCTCCGCCCCTGTCGGCAGGACAGTGGCTGGACACCCGAAGCAGGACCTCTTATAGGGACCCGCCAATTAGCTGCTGCCCAATCACAGGCAGCACCTAGTACCTAAGTCACATGACAAGGCAGTCCCTATGACTGCAGGATTTCTGAATTACTGGGGTTACACAAAGGACACTCATTCAGGAAAAGAGAAAAAAAAAAAAAAAGCCATAAGCCGAAACAGAAAACGCCCAGGCTGTGACAACTCCGGCTTTAAAACAGGGAACACACGAGCTTCACACGGACGGGAGAGAAAGCCACAATCAAGCCAGGCTGAAAAGCAGAGGAATGCCTGGCACTTATTAAAAATTAATCCCAAAGCAAACGCTGAGTTTACAAACCCACTTCAGCTATAAATACACTCCTCCTTCCTCTACAGCCTCCCCGTTGTGTTCTAAACAGGACTTTATTTCAAAAGGCGCCGGTGAACCTCGGTAAAACTCCTGTAGGAAATGGTGTCAGAGACGGGAGTCCCTTCTCTCCCCATTCCCTCAAAATGCCCCTAACGGAGAATCGAGGTGCTCCATGAAAAAGTTTCTCAACCAAAATGCCTTTTCAGAACGGTTGGGTAACTCAGGCCAAATTAAACCTCGTCGTGACAAATTTGTGTGGTAACTACCAAATCATATAGGTCTCCCCCATACACACACCCCTGCTCGCTCGCTCTCTCTCTCTCAGGTAATCATTTTAAGCTGCTCACATCAAGAACATTCTTATTAAGTAAATGAGTGCCCCCCCGCCACCATGAACTAGCTACCAATCTATGCTGAACACCTCTAATTTATTGCTTAAATATTTACAGGCTAGGAAAAATTCAACTGTGGAAAACCCCCTACCATTTCTTTGCTCCTCACCCCAAAACGGTACTTACAAACGTCCTCTGTCTGGGCTGTCGGTTTCTCCCCCTCCCCCGACAGCTGAAGCCAAAACGTGCGCTCGACTTCATCTTTCAAACCTAAAGGGCCTATTTGGACCGTGCAGGGCTGCAACAGCTCTTTCTCCGAGGCAAGCCCAGAACACTGTGCCGCTTGCGATTCCCAATTTATGGAAGGAAGCGTATGTCAAACAAACCAGGTGATGACTCACACTGCCTCCCCCAGCCACATTTTCCCTAGAATGGGAGGGGAGCATAAGTGCAGCCCATTTGGATGTGACTCAGTTTTATGAGACTGGTGATTGTAGTTGATCTGACAAGCTCACATTTTTCCTTTATAACTTGTACATTTCAGGATCAGAACGCACGTTCTAAACAGTTTCAAAGAACAGCATCACGTAAACGAGAAAATTGCAAGGTTTTTTAAGGTCCGGCAAAGCTCCGGTTCTAGCCCCAAACAACTTAAAGCTTCCTGATTATCTGTTGGAAAAGTTATAACCGAGGCAAACAAACGTTTGAGTTCACAGCACAGCCGAAAACGAACTGTATACATTTAGGTCTACCAGAGGCTGTCACCGAGGGGGACTCAGACTCTTTCTGTCCTGGGCACCCAAGTGCAAGTCCAAGTCGGGGGCCCACGTGGCAGGTTCTTCAGGAAGTGGTCGGGAGCATGAGAGCCACGTTGAGGCTTTCACTTTTGCATTTACTGCAATTCACATACTAACCTGAGCTCCTCTCTCTCTCTCTCTCTGTCACACACACACACACACTCACACAAATACCGCCCTCTAATCCTAACCTGCTAAACGCTGCAAAAGAAAAAACTTGGAAGTCATCAACTGTCATCTGTGAAAATTCCCATTAAATACACACGCGTGCCTATAAGTCTTCCACTTCAGGAACAAGTTTTCTCCCAAGATGGGAGAGGCATTACATGGAATCAATTGTTCGCAGGTATTACACAGCCATGAGGAAGGCAGCCATCAGAAGTGCAACTCCCCACACGAAAGGTCTGGAAGGCTTGGTCTGAGCAAGCTGCGCGCTAGAGTGATCTCTCGTCAGAGTGCTTCCTTTAACCTTGAGCAAAGTCAGCAACTGCTTGGACTGAGGCTTGACACTGACGGTTGATGGTGCTTTGATGGAGGCCTGATTTTGTTACACTAGAGAAAATAGCGTTCTAGTTCTAGAATACACAAACCTGTTCAGGTATCTCATTTTCAAATAGGTAGGTGAGGCCAGAGAAAGGGTGGACATATAATTCAGGGGCTGACTGTTCACTTTACAAAAGGATTCCCTTTAGAGTTTTACTGGAATAAACGCTACATTAAATATACATGTAGAACTGACTTTCGGAAACTAAAGTCACATGATACGACTCAGAGGCCCATTTCTGAATTACGCTTTTGAAGCCCTGGTATTTTAACTGCGTGCACAGTTGTCATTCAGTTATTAAAACAGACTCATACTTCAAAAGGGATGTGTGAATCTAGCCACGGACTTTTTGAGTAAAATTTAGTGGCTTAAAGAAAGGTGCCTCCGTATGACAGAGAACGTAAACTCTATAATTACATGGCTTCCAGTGGAAATAAAAACAGGCTATGAAAACAGAACGTTAATAAAATCAAACACTTAAGACTCTGGCATCTAAAACAATCTATAACATTTTAAAAGCTTGGAGCCAGACTTGCTGGGATTCGAATCTTGGCTCTACCATTCCTCGGTTGTGCCCCTGGCTTTTCTACTATCGTTATCGAGTAATTTCTACCCTTCTGACTCTTCTTTGTGCCACCGTTTTAGGGTAATACACACCTCAGTCTAAACATTTCTGCACAAGAAAAACACAACCCTGCAACTTTTTTGAAAAAGTCACTTGTAACTATTTTACTAATGATGACAAATACCTAGCCAGGCCATAGTTTCCTACCAAAGTTTCAGTACATACTCCTCTGATTTTGCATCTGACATCTGTTTGGGTCTTTTTGTCCAAAACTCCTCGGAATTTCCAAACCCCGGTACAGAATCGGGGCAGGGCCGGCGAGGGAAGATGTTCAAAGAGAACTTCCAGTCCAGTCGCCCCAGATGGGTCAAGACATGAAACTCATCAGCCAGAAATGAAGGTGAATAGGGCAAAGACTAGGGGTAACACTATAGCCCTGTCTGGGCCGGTGGGGGGCCCCCCAAAACAGAGGTATGAGGAAATGGTTCCAGGCTTGGAAAACAGTACCTGAGGCCCACTGTTTATTCTGTCTACAGGGCCGTGACATAAAACTTGATGACAGTTACCCTGAGGGAAAAATCATGGAACGGAGGGTGTGAAGGGGGTACAAAAAAAAAAAACAAAAAAAAAAACAAAAAACCAAAAAACCTTCAGCATGCATTCTCTCCTATGTGGTCTTTCATGAAGAAATTTCTTTTTTTTTCCTAATATTTATTTTTGAGAGAGACAGACAGGCAGAGAAACAGGGCGCAAGCATGGAAGAGGCACAGAGAGAGGGAGACACAGAATCCTAAGCAGGCTCCAGGCTCCGCGCTGTCAGCACAGAGCCCGATGCGGGGCTCGACCTCCCGAACTGCAAGATTGTGCCCTGAGCCAAAGTGGGACGCTCAACCGACTGAGCCACCCAGGCGCCCCAAGAAATTTCATTTCTTAAAAGAGAGAACTACACGGGTTTCTATCTGAAAGCCCCTACGAAGAAATGCAAGCATCCCATAAACCCTTTGGTACCAAAAGCTCATCGTTTCCGGCCAGCACAGAACACACTGGAAGAGAGAGAAAAACGACAGCAAGCAGACACTTCTGAGGCTCGGGCGAGCTTTATCAATATGCAATTGCTCAAACACGGTGCTCGATGCTGCTCTGGGGATACGAGAAGTAATTCTAGGTTTTGTTCCAAGGCGAATGACTGCTCTGACTTGTCTTTATCCAGGCAATGTTTGCGAGACAGATGGTGACATAATGGGGGGTGGGGGGGGAAGGGCACCGACATGGGGCCAAGGTAGTGAGGACTACAAATGAGTGGTTGGGGGACAGTTTGAGTTTGGTCAGTTCCGAGCCGCCCGGAGATCCGATTCAACAGTTCAGTTACGGGCACATTCGGAGCCCCGACGCAGAGCCTCCTCTGGGCCACCGCTCCTGTCCCCAGGCCATCGCTAAAATACCAAATGATCCAACTGTGTCAGGTTCCCACAAACCAGAACTACAGGTCAGGACGCAAACAACCTGGGCTCCCGGTTCCAAGACCGGCTCTGGGACTAGCATCAGTTGGGGGGGGTGGGGGGGGGGGACATGGGAAAGTCACTTCATTTCACGGAGGCCTTTTTATTTGTTTGTTTCATCTGGAGAATGGGCGTCAAGGAGAAGAAAAGGAATGGACAGAAATCGCTGCCTCATCGGCTGCCATGCCCAGTTACCCATCTTACAACTCCCGGCGGGGCTGGCGCGGTCAGGCTTCCAAGCCACGGCGGCTCCTTCGAAGGTTGAAAGTTACAAAGCAACTTTATCCTCTATGCATTACGATGATCGAAAACCTTTTGGACGGCGGCTCGATGCGCTCTCTGGCCGTGACGAAGCACCCTACTCGGAGCCCAGAAGACTACCTCTGTTCGCAGACGGTACAAGTGACAGTCGCGATATACACAGCATCGTCACAGACACCTGCCTGCGTGGCTTTGGATGCGTGCGCCTCTACGGACACGCGCACAAGCTGGGTCTACACTTACATAAGACGGTCTGAACGTTTCTTTCGGAGAGCTCGCCTCTCCGTTCCACGCTTTTCGTGTTACATAAGCAGCCGCTTCGCCCGTCTTCCTGCGGGGATTTCAGATCTGAGCAGCATACTGTGCTCAGAAAAGTTTTTATTAGTTGTCTTCTCTCCCCACCCATTTTAAAGAACGAACTGACTCAGTTTTCTGATGGCAGTGCCGCTGGGTGGGAGTGAGTATGGGGGCGGCAGGGTGGGAGAAAGGGACGATGGGGAGGAGGTAGTGGTAGGAGCCAAGAGCTGAATCACAGCCATGTGAGTAATCTTAGACTTTTTTTTTTCTTCC